ATCTGTATATCTATATCTCTATCTCTTTGTCTGTCTGTCTGTCTGTCTGTCTCTCTCTCTCTGTCAATATATACATACATACATACATACATATATATATATATATATATAGATGTAGATATAGATATATAGATATAGATATAGGTATATAGATATATATAAATGTATGACAGAGTGATTACATCATATGTGTGTGTGGAATGTTTACAATTTGCTATATTTATTGGAAAAGGTGGTTATAGGAATTAACACTACATAATGACTGTCAGTGTCACGTTTCAATGTGATCTTATTGTAGCGTAAAACTGGCAGTCAGCGTTGATTTCTATGTCGATACTCTCTCCGTCTTCATATATATATATATATATATATATATATATATATATATATATATATATATAGGACATGTGTATAGTGTGCGTGGGTATATATATGTGCACTTAGATATATACATGTTAATTAGGCGCTCATAGACAGTTACGTGAGCGCTACCAGCCATTATCGTTACATACTTTCATCTCATTACTTTTGGCAGGTAAGTATATATATATATATATATATATATATATATATATATATATATATATATAGTTGTTTGTGTTAGTAATAAAATGTGATAACTGACGGTAATTTGGTGTGTCTTTCTACTAAACCAATTATTCCAAGAACTGTTCCCACTGATGTTAAACGGACGCCTACAACAACTTAGTTTATGACAACGTCTTGTTTGGAAGGAAATATTTGAAGTAATTAGTGAAATGGCCAAATGAAAGAAAGAAGGACAATTGAAAGAGAATAAAATAAAGAATGAATGAAAAAGAGAAAGGATGAAAAGGAAAGAAAGAAATCGATAAAAACAAAGAATGAAAAGGAAAGCCACAAAGAATGAAAAGAAAAAAAGAATGAATAGGAAAGTAAAAAGAATGAAAAGAAAAGAAAAAGAATGAAAAGGAAAATAAGAATGAAAAGCAAAGAAAAAATCAAATAATGAAAAAGAAAAAAACAACAATGAAGCAATAAAAACAAAGAATGAAAAAGAAAAAACAAAAAGACAATGAAAAAAACAATAAAATGGAAAGGAAAGAAAAAACAAAGAAAGAAAAGACAAGAAAGCAATAAAAAGAAAGAAAGAATGAAAAAGAATGAAAGCAATAAAAAACAAAGAAAGAATGAAAAAGAATGAAAGACAGAAATTTATTCTGGAAATTCAAAGCGGAAGTGACACACCCAAAATATCTGCTAAATCAGTAATCGTGAATTGTCGACAATTCATATCTACGGCAGCCGAATCACTTCACACCAACTAAAACATCCACCCACACTCCTTCGTACACGTGGCCTAGTCTACACACACACGCGTACACACAAAAACACACACAAAAGATAATTACTAATGAACAACTTAATTTCTACACATACCTCAAAATTTCAAGCTTCCCTACCTACAAAATAATGCAAATCACGCCCATTAATACAATGCAAAACATCTACCTTAAATATACTTGTAAAGAGATACCACTTGACATCAATTCTGAACTCAAATTTCATATTTTTAAAATAAGAAATAAACAAGTTAGTTTTATATTAGGCTTCTTTCGTTGTTAATAATTACTATTAGCTCTTTGACAAATAAGTTTAACTTTTGATACATATCAACAGATTTGATTTTCCTCGAAAACGGTCATGAGCAAACGGTGGCCTGCCGCCCACATGCGTCTCGATTGGCTTCCTGTAGTGCACCTCTACTCTCATGAGGAAAATAACATTTATTAAAATGTTTGTTTCTTTTCGTTCTCACTTGTTCACTCACACACTCTCGTGCATAACCATATCCAGAAACAACGATTAATTTGTAAACATTTCGTTGAAGGCTGTCAGCATTTTAAACCGTTGCCGATTTTCACTAAGGAAGATCATACGCGTAAACATCTTTTGCTTCAGAAACACGAAACGTCAATGATAATTATTCTTCCTTTACAAATAATTTTTCCTACTCAAATGAATAAATTAGAAACAATTCACATCCAGCAATGTGATTTAATCACGCAGTTATCAGTGATAATATTAGACCAAATAGAAATGACTGCGGTATCTTTAATTAAAGAAAAATATCTTTTAGTTGTACAACCAGCCTTATGATCTACTGTACCTCATGCAGCCCACTGTTCGAAAAACGTTGCCCATGCCTGCTCTAAAATATCACCGACATTACTTTTTGAACAATTATTGATATTTGTTACACTTCCGAACGCTACAGGGTCTTATGTCTATTATTACGGTTAGATTTCTATTATTAGCATCCGTTTTTCTTAACATAAAAACAACGGTACATCGCAGTGAGGTTTTTGTTAGCGCATTATCATTATGCTTAAAATAATTTTCAGTCCAACTTGCTGCTTAATAAAAACATAGCATAATAATAATAAGGTTATTTTTTTAATGCCAATATCGTTAAAATTATCTTTGAAATAAATTCAGTCCTATTTGCTATATAACAATAATACGATGTGGTCATGGTTCGAGCTCGCCTCGATAATATTGATCCGCATATCAAAGTCGAAAGGAAAGAATAAAGATTTCTCGTTGCTGTATAAAATAATGATACCCTTGAATTGTGATGTCTTTATTTTTTTTAAATATTTTTAACAAGATAAACGTATTTCCCAGACATCATTATTTTACGTAGAGATTATTATTTTTCTCACTTTTTATTTTCCATCAAGAATATTTTCCCACTTTATTACAATAAACAGTTTGAATTTGTCAAGTACATATATTTAAAAGTAATTTGAGACTGATTAGAGATTAAAAGAAGTACAAATGTTCGAATCTCATGGTCGATTTGTTAGGACGGTAACTTCTTGATGTTATCGGCTAAGGGAGATAATCTCAGCGCGTCACCTTTTGGAAAGTGCCTGAATACCACTTGTTGACCCAAATCTTGTGAGTGACGTAACTGTTCGTCAATGGTTGTGCTAGTACGAAGTCATAAGTCATCGTGCCCTAGGCTTTGAGTGTACTGACCTTGTTCAAACTGTTGCCCACAATGGACGATACGCTCTCTCTAAGAAAGTGTCACTAAGGACCGTTCAGCATAGTTGCAGTATAAACCAAAATTAGGTTCTATGGGTGAAACACAAATTTGCCTGAGCAGGCGTCTGCAAATGAGATTCGCTATCCGGCCTCGCCGAGAGGTCAGCCATTATAATAGGATTAATAATATAATATATACACTGCGTGCCAAATTATTATCGAGATAACTTTTTTTCTAATATTTCAAAAACCGTATAATCAATTTCACCGTGCTGATAGCAAATATGGCGCCAGTTTGTTTACATTGCACAGATCAGTATGAAAATTTCAGTGATTGCGCAGGTCAGTGTTGCCAACATTGTGTGAAAATTTTGTGTGAATTGATTGGACGGTTTTTGAAATATTAGAAAAAAAAGTTATCTCGATAATAATTTGACACGCAGTGTATAGTACCTCTATTTGCTCGCTGAGAAAAAACAGCATAGCATGATGAAAAAAGACCCCAAACTTTATAAAAACAAAGTTTTATCGTCAAATTGTATGTTATTATTAAGAGGAAAGACCAAAGTATTTTTATTATCGTATTAAATTAAAAAAATTAATACGATAATAAAAATCCTTTCTAACAGGTTCGAAATTAGATTAAAAATCTTTTTTTTTTTTTTACGTCAGCGGTCGACGTAATATTTACGATTAGCGTTTTTGCGCTTTTTTCAGATGAAAAACACATTGATTTTAAAGTTCTTGCAAAAATCAAATAATTGTCGAATTTTAATGAAACTTTTAGAATTTTAAAACCGAGAATTAACCTTTCTTTACAAATATGTCAAAAATGGCCAATATTTATCGGTTTTCTGAAAGCAACCAAAAAAGTTGAGATTCCAATCAATATAATTTCTATTTGAAATACACCAGAGTATTTTGCTAATTGGAAATAGTAAATTTTATCTGTCAGCTTTCAATTAAAGATAAAAAGCTTCAAGAATACTTTTCCATTAAAAAAAAATAATTTTAAACTTTAGTTATCGAAACTGAGTGAAGATACCTATATTAATATTATTCATATTAATAATAATATTAAACATGTTTGTGCCTTAGAAGCTTTTACTGCCTTGCTTGGAGTGAACACGATTAAAAAAAAACATAATTTTTAACAGCATATGTTTAATAATAATATATAATAGATATCGTATCTTTTTAATGTATTGTTGTTCTGCTTGTTTTTTATTGTTTCTGCTGCTTTGTTTTATAACTTTTTATGTCATGTCCCCTTCAGGATATAGTTGATCATGCAGATTTCGTAGATTTTATTTCCAATTGTCTGTGAATTGCCATAAATTCTTCGGAACGGTTATATTTTGCTTTCTCTACGGTTGACTTCCACACGGTTTGGAATTCAAAATATTCCTTCGCTTAAACTAGTTCCAATTCAAGGCCAGAGCAACCAGTGGGAGAAAAGAAATTAATCTATACTCTGCCCAATAGCATTTGAAGGGAAGATGAACGCAACTGGATCTAAACTCAGCTTGCCAATACATCTTTACGCGCCGATATCCGTTACACTACCGACACAACTTTCAATTTTAAACTTCTAATATTATTAACCTTATATAATAACATCTAACATTACTAACTTTATATATGTATATCTACAATACCAATAACCTCTATCAAATATTGTTATTGATACTTTTTATTCTTTTAGATTGATTCGATTTCTACGGCTTATCAACCCTTTGTGGGTTATTTAAAGCCGGAAAATATTTTTAGATTATAAGAACTTTTTTTAGATAATAAGGGTTTAGTGATATAGATCATACTAATTAACCCATAGCTGGGAGGAGAAAATGTGGATTTATACCTTTCACGGGGTATTTGCTCGTAAGTGAATACAACGAACCCAATAGGAATTGGAACTCGGCTCTCCAATTAACAATACCATTACACCACACGTACATCCAAGCTTCCTGCACCTGTTATTTCCAAACGGTCACCCATCTAGGTACTGACCAGACTCGACGTTGCTTAACTTTGGTGATCGTACTGAAACCGGTTTTTCAAAGTGATTTGACCGTAACTCATTTTAGAAATTGATTTCATTTCCTGCAAATAGTCATCAGTCGCATGGTTCATGTCAGGTAATAAATATCATATATATCATATGATATCATATCATATCATATATATATATATATATATGATATTTTTCTTTTATTTATTTTTTTATTTCTTTTATTTATATATATATATATATATATATGATATTTTTCCATATATATATATATAAAACGTTCATATAAACATATATAAATACACATATACACACATACTCATATACACACACACATACTCATATATACGCACATATACAATATACACACACACACATATATATATATATATATATATATATATATATATATACTATGAACATGAACACAATATCTTGATCGTGTTTTGAAAATGAAAACATATAATTGTGCTTCTTGCCGGTTCGACAAATCAACATCTGGATATTTGTAAAATCTACGATATCAAATTAATATGAATGTATTTGTTATGCATTATATGTTATTTTGCCTTCAGCACACTGGGGAAAATCGGTTCAGTGAGTCCAAAAGCGTCTCCGATCCCACGTGGGTCACTAATTATTCTCCACCCTCCAACTTCTTTCTCACAGGCCGAATTAGGCAAGCCTCTCGCTGCTCTATCGCCACTTCCACAGAAAGTGCTCGAACGAACTACATTCCCTGGTCCCGCCAGTTCAAGGACACGCCGTGCCACTTACATTGGAACAAACCATCCACATTCCCTCCTTATACCATCGGTTAGAAGTAAGTTCCATTCGAGCAGCTTCTTCTAGCGAACCACTGCTTTGTGGAACCAAGAGGATGTTTCCCCGATCAATACAATCTTAACCTGTTCAAGGCTAGGATTAACCGTTATGTCCCCCTCCTATCAGCACAAATTACCTCCAAACGTAACCGAATAACACGAGCGGTCCTCGGGCTTTATAACAGGGAAAATTACTTTTAAAAAATACTAAATATCACATCACCATCGATCAAACCATAAAACTGCACCAATCCTGATGAGAGATCATAGCCTCAAAGGGGATTTTTGTCTCGAACCCCTACTGGGGTTAAAGCCCACACCCGTGCTCAAACGAGGAGGTTCCTTTCAGAGGAGAGATTTCCAGTGTCAAGGAGATGTTAATCATCCTCAACAAATATGTCTGCATGCATGCGTTTGTGGTTCGATGAACGTTTAATTTGAAAGTTTCTTAGCGTCAATACTTGCCAATTTGCACGAATTCTTTTTAGAAACAAGCCTCATTACCCGCCTACTGTCTACGTGTCGTACCCTCCCAAATGCTGCAAACATTTTATTGGTGATTTTAAAGATTTATCGATTCACAATATTATTATTATTATTATTATTATTATTATTATTATTATTATATTATATGTATTATACATATATATTATATTATATATCTTATAATATTATATATATTATATCATATTATATTATATATTATATATATATTATATTATATATATTATAATATTATATATATTATATCATATATTATATATATATTATATTATATATATTATAATATTATATATATCATATTATATTATATATATATATTATATTATATATTATATATATATCATATATATTGTATATATTATATCATATTATATTATATATTATATATTATATTGTATATTATTATATATATTATATATATTATAATATTATATATCCTATTATGTAATGTATTATATATTATTATATATATTATATATATATATTATAATATTATATATATTATATCATATTATATTATATATTATATTATATATTATTATATATATTATATTATATATATATTATAATATTACATATATATATATATCATATATTATATATTATATTATATATTATTATATATATATTATATTATATATATCATAATATGACATATATACCATATATTATATATTATATCATATATTATTATATATGTTATATTATATATATTATACATATAATATTATATCATATTATATTATATATTATATTATATATTATTATATACATTATATTATATATATTATATATATTATATCATATATATTATTACTATTATTGATCGTGATATCGATTCGTGATATTATTGATTCGTTTACACGCGTTTATCGTCAAATGAACTGAAATTCATTGGATGAATTGAAAATCCGTCCTTGATTGTTATAATTTGGAGAATGCTAAAATGACCAAAATCTCCTGGTGAGGAATCACGTAGTCATATAATTTATTTGAGTCGTCCTCCTCTATATGACAACCGTCTCTGATAGGAAGGTTTTGAGGAGCGTGGAGCCACCTCTTAACTACTGTCGTCTACAGGTCTAACCTGACACGGGGTAGTAGCACCGATTAGGGTCACAGCTATGGGTAAATAGTTAACCCCCAAACAGAAAACTATAAAAGTATAAAAATACAACTTTATAGTAAAAAATACCATCAATACATTTTTATATAAAAGAAACTGCCAACAATACCTATTTATAGTAAAAATTATCACTAATACGTATTTAGGGTAAAATTAACAATATATTTTTATAGTAAAATACCAGCAATATATTTTTGTATAAAAATAAAAATCTTACTTTAAAAAAGAAAACTTACTTGTAAAAAAAAATTACTTGTAAAAAAAATTACTTGTAAAAAGAAAAAGAAAAAAATTATTAACAATACATTTCTGTAAGGAAAAAATATTACCAATAATAGAATTTTGTAAAAGGGAACTAAATTTCAGCATTAAAGGAGTTGATATGCCGCTAAACAAACAAATAAAAAATTGTTAGAGTCGCAGGAGCAAAAGTGGTGATTTTTAGCAAGATAGCCGCACGGAACCCAACCGTCTCTAGGTCGTTTTGAATTCAGTTTTCTTTCTCCTAGACTAGTTGCCAACCAAGGCCATAATGCACAATCTGTTCTGCTATTTAATTATAATTAATTGGGAGAGAAGAGATGAATATATAGCTTTCATAAAGGCGCGTAAGCAAATGTAACGAACCTGACTGTAATTCGAATGCTAATCTCGAATTCCTCATTCAGAACCGTTATCCATTACACGCTGAATAGGATCACTTTAATATCTACGTCCAACACCCGCCTAGACTCAAATCGGTAAACCTGAGAACCCCCAGTATTACATGGCTAAGATTCATTGGAATCAAGCAGGAGTAAGGCAAGCGCAGTCGTAAGGGATATCCAAACTGGGAACGCGGACTATCGGATCTGGTTTTAAAAGAAATTAAGAAAGTCGGATAGAAAAACGATCCCTGAAAGACGCGTAGTAGTCAATATGCATTAAACCAGTCGAAATCCGTAGAGAGGTAGCCACCTCACCTGAAACGGCGCGCAGTATTAACTCCTTCCTCCCACTTGGATGAGATGTGACACAAGGTCTTTTTAGGTGGGGACCCAGGCGCGTACGCCCGGGACAAGGACAAAAATTGCCGTTAGCCCCCGCAACCGACGGTTGAGCTGGCCTCGGTGCGAGCACCGATCCCTGCCTCTGGTGCAATGGCAGGGCGCGGCCTCGGGAAGCTGTTCCTCAAGGCTGGGCACCTCTCAGTATAATTTTCCTCAGTTACCCCTCTGTCCTTTGACAGAGAAGCCCCTGAGCGCACTCTGCCCAAAGACAGAGACGCAACTGAGAGATGATAAGCCCGCGTTGAAATCCCTCCGAATTCTCTCGGTATGACCCCGAGAAACCTTTGGTATCCGGTACGTGGTGTATTCAATTGGCATCACTTGCAGTAGTATTTTTTTTTCTAAAATCCCTTCTTGCTCTGCGTATGAAAGACCCATTGTCACCTATTCAATGGTTCTAACATAACAGTTTTTTTTTAAAATACAAGTACAACGCTAATACTCTTTTTAAAAGAATACACACAAGAATCTATGTGGTGTGACTGATTTGAAGACAATGGCAAGAGCTGTTTCCATACAGAAAATTTCCGGCCGTCATTGACTGAAAATTTAGTGTTACTGTCAGTTGAAATTTATAAAGTCTTTTCGGGAAAGTAGACTTTTGAGGTCCACTAAATGTTATAGCACTTTCTTATATTAATGGGAGCTTCCTTCCAACCTTTAATAAAATTAAACAAATTTACTCTTTTCCGTTTCTTTAAATTATATCACTTAGCATCCGCCATAGTTTACCTTGATTTTTACAGTTAACCCTAAGGATATTTTTGTCGCTACTTAAATTTACAATTTTTTAAACCTAACGAAATTTTTTTACATCTTTTTAGAAATACATTTTGCATAATAATATCCTTATACTCACTCTTTATTACGTCCATCATAGGACGGGACCTGTTGGTAAAGAAAAGTTTTTCTTTTGTTACACACACACACATATATATATATATATATATATATATATATATATATATATATATATATATATGTATTCTCAGCCTATGTTCTAACTCGAGTATTTATGTATGAGCAAATCCAGATAATTCAGACATCTGAATACTGACATTTAAGATGAATATTTCTACGATTCTACAGACTTTTCTGTAACCCTGAAGCTTCGTACAAAATGTTACCAAATGAAGCTCGCAGCTCTTATAACCTGTCCTACTGTTAGACTAAATTGTCTGAATAAACATTAAATTATTAGAGATTTTAACTTCGCGTTTAAGACCCAGGAGATATTATTTCAACCTTTTTGGGAGCGAAAAAGGAATCTTATTTACCACCCGAAATGTTACTTTTATACACACACACACACACACACACACACACACACACACATATATATATATATATATATATATATATATATATATATATACAATACACTTTGTCCATTTTTCTTTTTTGAACAATTTAGTTTATTAACACCGATTTAGCTCTGTTGAACGAGGTTCGAAATCGGTTAAGCTAGCCCGTTTTTCAATTTTATTTTTTATCAACATGAGTGGTAATAATAAAATTAATTTTTGTCTATTAATGGCAGTTATATATATATATATATGTGTGTGTGTATCGTTTTGATAGTGAATTTTGCAAACACGCGCAAACGCTCTCTACTATAATTATTTTAAAATTATCCGTTGTGATTAAGATGTTTTGTAAACAAGCATTCCCAATACAAGAGCGATGACCAGAGATAAATTGCAAAATGGTTTTGAATGTTAGTCAACTCAAATGCATTTTAAAACATTGCTACTATAGTCGTAATAAATTTTGTTCAACGTTGGTTGCTTGCTTGCTTTTGATATAGAGGGCCTCAAGAATTTGAAGTTTTTCTTTATTATTTTCGTGGTGTATTATATTGTTATTGTCAAAAAATATTTCCTGTATTGTGAACGTGGACAGGAATGTGTTTTTAGATGTTGAGTGATAGAAATTGTATCCGACAAATAGAGTGTAAGACGTCTTGATAATGTTGTGGTTGTCAAGCCAACATATGTACTTACTTTCTTTGTCATGGATACAATCTCACAAAGGATATGTAAAGTGATATACAATGTTGGTCTTTTCCAAAACGATAGTTGACAGAGAAGTGTTATTGCATATTATTTGGTTGTGTTAAATTTAGTATATTATATAATTATTTTTATTTTTTAGAATTTTAAATTTTTTTCATTTTGTATGTATTTGATTACGGTATAGTAGCTATGATATGTTTAGCGTTATTTCAAGAAGTATTATGTTCTTTTTGATTTGAGATAATAATTCTAATGTCTCGTCTAATTTGTTCATCAAAGATGTAATTAGGAAAGTCATTATTAATGAAAGTTTGTTCATTAATAATGATTTTGAATTCAGAGTAGAATTTTATTCGTGGAAGAATTAACTTTTTTACGATTCAGTAAATCATTCGCTTTTATAGTTTTTATGCTAGTTGTTGTTGTTTTTTATATGGAGAAGTAGTAACTGTATTATTATTATTATTATTAGTGTCTATCAATACACCAAGAAAAGGAGTTTTTTTTTTGTTTTTGCTATTGCTAAGTTTATATGTGAAGAACAGAGCTTTTTTGTAAATTTTCTTGTAGTTCCTGTGTTTCATCTATGTTTTTAATTAATATATATATTATATATATTAAGAAATATATATATATATATATATATTAAGAAATGGACAAAGTCCGACAATTTATTTATTAAAGATATTTTTGTTTAACGTTCTTTTTATAGATACAAGTATTTAAGTAAATGCTCTGTTTATAATAAACAGTATTAAATAACATTTACCGGCCTGAATGTCCGAGAAATTTTCATAGAAAATATTCTGTCATTTTCATAGAAAATATCCTGTCAAAGGACGAATATTTTCTATGAAAATTTCTCGGACATTCACGCCGGTAAATGTTATTTAATACTGTTTATTATAAACAGAGCATTTACTTAAATACTTGTATCTATAAAAAGAACATTTAAATAAAAAATATATATATAACATTAATATATATATATATAATATATAATATATATATATATATATATATATATATATATAACATAAATAAATCCTAATGAGCCAAAGACTACCTACCTAGGTTTACACCACATGGGATGATCAGGAGCCAGCTCACCCAGATGGTCCCATGTGGTGAAGAAACCTAGGTAGGCAGTACCTGGCTCATTAGGATTTATTTATTTTACTTTTGTTCTACTTAGTGTATTGAGCACTCTTCTTTTTAACCCATTACTCGCTGTTTTTTTTCTTCGTGCCAGTAATTTAAAGTAATTTAAAGTACTGGACGATTTCTTTCGCCCTGTCAGTTGGTTTCTGGTACTTTCTTTTTTTTTTTCCATTTTTCCTCGGATACCAATTTATTTGATAATTGTTCTATCCAGGTTTTTTCACCCACCGAGTTTAAATAGATTTACATTATATATATATATATATATATATATATATTGTCATCCACAGGCAGACTGTTTCGCTGCATCACAGCTCATCAGTGTGGATAGACATCTGATTGCCTCAAACCAGGATCTAAAACCGACTGATTTGACATCAGTCAGAGAATATATATATATATATATATATATATATATATACGCACATACACACATACAGACACACACAATTTACCGCTATATTTAATACTACATATAGCCCATAATAATGTTTATTTACCAATCTTAGCTTGGCACAAAGTCACAAGTATGAAGCACCCAGTGAGGATCGAACTCATTATTCAGTCGTCATGGACAATCGGACTAGCTCGTTCTGGAATTGGGCAATAGGCCTTGCGACTAGAAATAATCATTTTTTTCGTTTTTTATTATTATTATTATTATTATTATTATTATTTCTGATCTGATGTTCTTTTTTTCATATACAGAGTGCGGCAGAAATACCTCCCTTGACATGCCTCCCATATAATGGTAAGATATTAGCCAAATGAAAACACCATTGCCACTAATGTCTTACCATTATATGGCAGGTACTTCTGGCGGAAGGAATTTCTGATGAACCCCGTATTAGTATCAATTAAACAAACCCGATTACAAATTTAAAATAATACATTTATGAAATCCCATCGTATGAGCAGATTTTTTTTAGTTTACATAGAGTCAACTTACAATGAATTTACATGGCAAACGGCATTAGATTTTATAAAAATTAAGTTAAAAAATTGATACTCATGGCCTAATCTATATTAATATGTAAATAAACGTTGAAAAATAATTATTTCTTATAATCTATTATCTATTGTACAACTCCACCTATCTCACTAACCATTACGCCACAATGAGGCGCCGTGTCCCATAAAAGTTATTACATTTCGTGTATGAAATGTGTATGCAAATGGAATAACTATTCTGGGACAGAAGCAGTAATAGTTAGATAAGAGATTTTGATCTTAAGCTTAATTGCACAAAATTTTAGAATTATTAAGTTTCGTTTTGTCAAGTACAAGTGGGACGCCTAGGGAGATTCGTACTCAGGACACAAATGAACTGGACTGTAATTCTAGATCAGCATTTCTCAACCTTTTTAACTTTGTGGAACCCTTAAAATAGTCTTCATGTCTTAGGGAATACCTGCATAAACATTATTATATACCAATATTATATATCTCTTTTATATTTTTAACACGGTAAAAATAATATATGGACACCGTGCCTGCGTCTTGTCTTCGAGTGAGTCACTTAATGATGCACGAATCCGTCACGTACAGATCATGTCCACTAACCAGTGAAGGCGGTTTCACACTGACTCCATATAGACATGGACAAATACATTCACTTTGATTAGAATAAGTTTAACCCTAGAACACTAACCATCAATTAAAGTTACACCACTACTAACCATGGATATATCATACCCAATTTTGAAAATATCAAAACAAATATTAAATATAAATCTTTATTTGAAATATTTTACATGCAGGCACTTCAAACTTTGTACTTTGAGTTAACATTAATAGGAACTGAAAAACATTATTTAGGTAAGAAAATCAGGTACTGAAAATTGTAATTAAAAATAAGAAAATTTGCGCTGGGTACTATATACCCATGGTTAGTGTTCTAAGATTAAATAATATAAGAGGTTGAAGCGCTTGTTGTAATAACCAAGGACTTTCCAACAATATGACGTGCGTGTATAGCAAAATTACGAATATAAAATTAAACAAAAATTACTCAAAAATGCATTAGTCTATTTATCACTGTTTTCCGCGGGACCCCTAGCGACCTCTTGCGGAATGCTAGGGTTCCGGGGAATACCGGTTGAGAAACGTTTTTCTAGAATGTCGACCATCGCACTATGTTTGATGGCTAAGGAATATATTTTTCTTATAATTTCTCATAATTTCTCTCTCTTTTTTACAGGTTATGCTTGGTCAGATTCCAAAGCAAGGAAGCAGCGAGACTGAAAGTCAGCAACTGATGCGTGACCTCTACGACAGTCTCGAGAGAGAAAACGATCTTAAAGAACAGATGAAGTTCATCGAAGAAGAAACTAAAAACCAACGGAAAAAAATTTCCGACCTGGAGGAAGAAAACGAAAGCCTTACCGTTCAAATCAAAAAACTGATGTCGGCCAAAACCATGTTCAACAAGAAGACGGACGATGGCAGTTCAGCGGCTAAAGAAATCGAGCTCAATTTGATGTTGGAGATGAGTGAGAGAGAGAATGCGATCGCCAGACGTAAGGTGGCCGAACTTGATCATATGAACGACAGCCTCCAAGAAGAGGTCAAGTATTTAGAGAAACGGCTAGAAGAAAAAGAACAGGAATCTAATAAAGTACCCGAACCGTCCACCCCGAACGCTTATTATGAAGACAAGATAAAAGACCTTACAGAACAAACAGATGATCTAAAATGGAAGCTTATCGAAAAAGAGAGAGAAATCGAACGCTTGTCGGCTCTTGTTCAAAACATTAGCACAAAACAGGGCCGCTCTTTGAAGAAAAGCCGTTCTTTGGACAGCGATAGCCAAGCGGTCGACTTGAATCGACAGCTGACCAGCACCCAGCAAGAGGCGGGTGTTCTCCGGGATAAATTGGTTCAGATGGAGGCCGAAAACGAGCGGTTGATCAAGGAGAATCGAAAGTTGCAGTTCCAGACGTCACGTCAGGTTCCGTCGATCAAGACCGACGACGCAGCAATCGAGAATGTCGAACTGAAAGAAATGGTCCGGCGCCTGGAGTCCGAAAACAAAGAGATGAATGTCAAGATGAGATCTATGTCTGAGAATCTCCGAAAAGTTAGCCGCGACTCTCTGAAGCTGTCCATCGGCAGCCCGCAACCGTGCGATGGCACGTTCAGTCCGACTCGTAATATCGGGAGTCCCGGCATAATCGGCAGCCCCACTGCCTCGCGCACAGATAGGATAGGAGATAGTGCATCAGTGAGCGGCAAGGAAGGTGTAAGCATCAACATTGGCGTCGGCACGGGCGGAGGAGTCGGCGATGGCGGAGTTCTTAGCATTCCTTCGGCGGGCAGCAGCCAAGAAACGGTGGAGGCGTCACGTGATCGAGCCAGGGTGAAGCAACTTGAAGGGGAGATGTTGGTGATGCTTCGAAAGATAACGGATCTAGAAACACGTAACTCTCGCATGACCAGAGAGTTGAATCGCATACGGGCAGCCTCAGACAACGCTACTACTACTAGTAGTAGTAGTAGTAATAGTATCAGTGCTTGTGGTGCTGCTGATAGTGGTAGTAGTGGTGGTAGCGGTGGAGGTGACAGCCCATCAGAGGTAGAAGGTAAAAAATCCACAACTCTTTCTGAAGCTGAAAAGATGGAACCTGGGGAAAGAATACACAAAGAATTGATGAATGAAATCGAAGAACTGGAGAATGAACTTAGTAAGTTTTGTTTTGTTTTTCTTTATTTGTTTACCAAATATGTTTTTGTTATTATTTATTTTTGGCTAGTTCCTCTTTCATCTTATGTCTGTTCCTTTGAAGAAATGAAAAGAAACAGAAAAGTTTGTCAAAAAGTAGCAGTGAAAATGTTTCACCTCAAAAATTCCGACAGCCTAAGACTATTAAATCTAATTGTACTGCAACATGTAAACAAACAATATAACATAATAAAATTATTTAGTTATTTAAAAAAATTCCCAATAAACCAAAAATATTACTTTAGATAAATAATAAACGAAAGATATAATGTCTTCTTTTTTTCATTTTTTTTCTTTTTTTTTTTTTCTTCTCTTCATACTAACAATCTTAAAAACATTCTAAAATCCTTATAAATACCTTTATTTACATTCGGACTAATATCCTTTCGTTATTATCACAAAGTTTCGGATGTTATGCCTCCGTCCCGGCCTTCTTCAGGTGTATGCCGATCTGGGTAATCCCTTAGACAATTTTGAAATGTACCATTTATTTATTCAACGGGGACAGATTGTTCCCATTCTTCTGCCCATGTTTAAGGATATTTTGTCTCAGTCATTGCTCGTCCTGTTCCTCTGCGTCCAGATCTGCACTACCCAACACAGAGATTGAACTCACAATTACTATATCACCAAATTCACGAACCAACGCTTTCATTCACACCAGTGGAGCCTTTACTTAGCATTATCAATTCCTAACTAAGTTTTAAATCATCTTATTTTTTGTTGCTTCTTATCGAAATGCTCAAGTGGCTTTTAGGTTCTACGAGCGTTAGGTAAGCAGAAAAATAAAGACTGTGCCTCAGAGAAGATTTAAACACAAATAACGATCAACTAGTAAATGACATTCCAATTTAGTCGTCTACCTGTATTATTTTTTATCTGATTATACTCCACGCTATATTGTTTGTTTACATTTAACAGTAGTATCAGAGCTAATATCCTTAAGCTTGTTGCTTTTGATTGCATCCAGGTTTATCAATGCTCCTTTATTTTTGCATGAAAATAATACTTGTCTAAAAATTATTAAGATTATGACCTTTTCTTTAAACGACTTTGTTTCCATTCCCGACCTATTTTGTCCGTTCAATCACCGGAGCATTTACCCTTCGTTTAGTTGCAAAGTTAACTATATTGTTTGTTACCTCGACAATGTTTCCAAGCAAGTCTGTGGTAACATCTTCAAGTCTTTAGCATAAGCTTTCGATCGACGAACTTACTGACTTGTGACAAGATTTAAAAATTTAAGAATATTTTGGTTTAATCACGTTTAAATTCACTGCAAACGAAAGACGAAAAAAAAAAACAGATTTAAACAGTAAAACGTCTTTTAAAAATAAAAAGAAAAAAGAAAAAAAAAGAAAAAAACACGCAGACGTTTGTAATTTTTCATTTCAAAATGTGGGTAGCACTGTTAAAAGCTACTCTCTGTGTATTTTTAAATATATTCTTTGTTTATTTATCACTCTGGTTATTTTTATTATCCATTCTGCATTTTTAGAAACTCTTTAAACATAATTGCAACACGAACTACAGATATGATTTTGTTTCCACATTATTTATATTTTAATAGATTATCAGCAATTTCAAAATTCATCGATCGATAGAACTGTATCGGTTATTAAAATCTGTTCACTCTGACCACACTAATAGTAATAATAACAACAATATCTCTATTATGTCAATAATGTTTTCTTTCATTCTTAACCACCGATAACCTATTTCTTCCTGATTTGCGATGCGCGGCGTAGGGATTGATTGCCGAAAGTTGTAAAAGAAATAATTTTACGTCCAAATGATCAAATTTAAGGTTTAATCATCAAATCTTTCCCCTGCCGTCAAAACTATTTATTTTTAATCATTTTTCTTCTTTAACAAAATCACTATATTGCCGGTGGGCAATGACTAGAAAAGCCGTAGCTTTACCTACGTGTCTTTGTTTTTAAATACTATTTCCATTCAGGATGCAGACGAACATAGTTCTTTGTGGCTTTCTATACTTTATCGTCTTCTTTATTAGATACCAGGAAAGAGAGCGAAGCGGTTTATCGTTGTTTTCTTCACGGTTTTTGGATTCAAAGTAGTCATTCTCTTACATTGGCTGCATTCAAAGCTATAGAACCTTGTTTACCCTGCTATTTAACTGATGGAAGATGAGATCGATCCATGCTTCTCCAAGAGTGGCAGGGAATTCACTTTTCTGGTGATGATGTTTGATTAGTGAAACATGTCAAAATAAGAGTTTTCCAAATGGTTTTATGTATTTACCATTCCGTTGGATTTTCATTCAAATTTAAATCATAACAATATATATATATATATATATATATATATATATATATATATATATATATATATATATATAATTGATGTAATATGCTGTATAAATTAATGTAATAATGATTTCTGGAAAGTTTTGACACCCGCTTATTTGCTGCTTTTAACATCTGATGGGACACTTAGAGGAAAACAAATTGTTGACACATTTGTCTAATAAATCCTACACGTGGTATCATTTTTTTTTTTTTTTACAAAACCAAAAATGCTAGTAACGGATTAATTTTACAGTCTGTTTTTATCTCATTTCATGAGGGCTACTGTACAAATAAACTAGTTAGAATCTTAATTTACCAAACTCTGGTTCACTGCAGAAATGTTGTAATTCCATAATTTAATGGTCTACTAAGAACACAGTATCTGTATTTCCATCCCGAAATCCAAAGAATTTCGAATTCCGAAAAGTATCTAATCGCAAGGATTTCAGTTAAGCGATTGCGCACGCGCGGATTCTAAATACTCTTCCTGTTTTTTCTCTTGCTCTTTCTTTGTTTTTTGTTTTTTTCTTTTTCCTTTTATTGTCCCATAATGTATTCATTCGAGAGCAGAAACAATACTGCCCTTAAAACAATTACAACCAATACATCGTTTCGTTTTTTAGTATCTACATTTCATAATTCTGTATAGACCATCGAAAACCGAAGAACTCTTCTTTTTTTTTTTAATAATAAAAAAAAATAATTTCCTCCAAAAAATCGTTTCCAGTATTTATAAGGACAAGTGAAAAAGTTATACAACCGTAGTCATTTTCATTCATTCAAAGACCACTTCCTCGGCGCGCGATCTCATTAAGAGCGTTGTTTACGTAAAACGATACTATATGCCAAAAATAGCGTCTATTAATATCATCATCACCATCGTCGCCATCATTTGTAGTAGTTGTTCTTGCACTGTTAATTGTCGCCATATTAAAACATTAATACATTTTCCATCGATAACATGTGGTTCGACTAAAAATTTATAACTATCTTTGTTCTCATCTATCTATCTATGTCTGCTCACATCTAAGTCTGTTCCTATTTATCTATATCTGTTCACATCTAAGTCTGTTCATATCTATCTGTGTTTGTTCACATCTATCTGTCTATATCTGTTCATATCTATCATATCCGAAATTATTCGCGCAGTAAACATAACTTACATGAATTGCATTTTACACTATTTACACCATCTGTACACCTGTTACAGGGCATGATTTTTTATCGAAAAGCCGTCTTTGTAAATTTCTGTAAATATAAAATTTTCGTATTCATGATAACTCTACCTGAAGTATTCGGGATAACCCTACCTTTTTTGCTAAATAATTGCGCAGGCACATTTTCATTTTCTTTCAGGTAGTTTAATATTTATCGATCGTAGATGAGTTACGAACATTAATGTTTCTTTGTTGTTGGGGGGGGCGCTTCTTTTATATTATTTTATTTTTAAATTACAAAATAAAACTATTATATTACTGTGTATGGAAATTATTTTCGTGTCATCTCGGGAGTTTCCATATTTTTTTAAGCTTATATAATGCTTTAAATATGTTCTTTTTCGTGAACCCTAACTCTAAAAGTTATCGAGTGTTAATGGTCAAGTTCTTCTCTATCTCAAGTATCATAAAGGCCCTAAATTCCTGGGCTTTCTTTCAACGGTCAAATAAGCGCCCTTAAAGCAAGTAAGCCGTTGGGGTTGGGTTAACATCTTGCTTTCTTCGGGTGCTTTTTGATCTAGGTAACCTTCAGGGAATTTCGAACAGAACCCTTTATTTAATTTCCGGCGGAAGATTATTTTCGTTTCTTTGTCCATGTGTAGGGATAGCTTTTTTTTATTTTATTGGTTTTATTTTATTTTAATTTTTAGTATTGCTCAGTTGTTGATCGTCCTGTTTTAACTGAGTCTACGTCTGTGCTACCTAGCCCAGGGATTGAACTATGCCACCAAATTCACAAAACAACGGTTTAATATCATAGATGCAAATAATTAATCCACTTATGCAATTAATGCTGACTCCTCAACCAAGAAATTCAGACAGAGATTGTTTCGTTTCTTTCCACGTGACAAATTCTGGGAAGAGCTTAGGTCGATTGAATGAGTGAAAGTTACCAGAATCTCCTTATATTTGCGCCTGTAACATCAAAAAACGAAATGTACAGCTGAATAGTACTGAGATTGTGGTAGATAGATACGAAGATAGGTAGTTATATATGAAGATAGGTAGATAGATATGAAGATAGATAGGTAGATTGATATGAAGATAGATAGGTAGATTGATATGAAGAGAGATTGGTAGATAGGTAGATAGGTATGAAGATAGATATATAGATAGATATATAGACAGATATGAAGTATGATAGAGAGATATGTAGACAGATATGAAGGATGATAGATATACAGAGATAGATCTGAATGAATTGGGATCAAATGTGGATTAGAACCCGGGAGAATGATAGGATAAAGAAAAAAAAATTATAGATCGTACATATTTCGCTTTTAATAAAACATCATCAGAGAATGGCATATAGAGAAGAAAAAGAAAGAAATTCTGCTATTTTTCATTTTTGCGTTGTTGGATTTTAATTGGCTAAGCAAACCTCCCATGCATCGATTTTGGCAAGCAGTGCATGTGCGTATAATTCATGTGTGTGTGTGTGTGCGCGCGTGCGTGCATCATAATTCTAGTTTGCCTATGCGGGTTTCAGATGGATATTCGTTTCTTTGTGTGTGTGTGTGTGTGTGTGTGTGTCTGTGTTTTTAATAGAAAATTTTGCTATTTTTTTTAATTCTGTTTGTTTTTCATTAGTTAAGCAGACTTCACGCGCATGAGTCTTGTGAAGCAGCGTTCGTGTGTATATGTACCATAATTCAAGTTTGTCTCCGTCGAAGTATTTCCTGTGTAAAGAATAATGTTATTTTTTAATTAGGGTGGCATTTATAAAATCGATGTTATGGCCTGTTTTGTTTTTGCATATTACGAGCGAGAGTTATTAAAGGGTTATCCAAACGGGTTTCTCTCATCTTCCTAGATGCGGGCTGTTAGATTACATGTTTCGCCATTATAACCTTTTTTACACTGTAGGTATTTTATGTCCTAAGTCCCGGCGTCTAATGTGGTGTTGGATTTATTTTATTCTTAGCTATATCTCTGATTTCATTGGCGGTGGTGGCATAGATCCCCGTGTTTATGAATGCCACCCTAATTAGAAATGGACATAATTCTTTACGTAGGAAGTACTTCAAGAGTGTTCTGATAAATATTTTGCCATCTATAAACACACGTCAAACACACTTTATAATAGCAACAACTTTTATAAAATCTATACTTAAAGGGTCTACAATATGTCTATCTACTACTATAACCAGTGTAACTTAAAAACAATTTCCCCTAATGCAAAACATGCAGACAAATACGAATAAAAATACCTACACACACACACACACACACACATTATAATCCCGCATAGACATACTAAAATAATGGTACATATACACATATTAATAATACATACGAACGCTGCTTGACAAGACAAATGAACATAATGTCTGCTTAACCTATGAAAAAGAAACAACACAAAAATTTAAAAAAAAAAACAGAATTTTCTTCCTTTTCTCTTTTTCCATTGCTTCGAAAGCGAACGAAACAGACTTTGTCAGACTTTGAACTTGATGCGTTGATTCCATTTTCTGCGCCGATAATCGTTACGCTACCAACACATTCACATGTCAGGCCATTGTTGGGCTATTCATTTGCTAAGCCCTTCATATTCAACAGTAGTTTCTGTTTTTTGATAAGGTCTTGAAATATTTTCCACTATATTTTCCCGTTTTGTCAATTTTATTCTGTCATCCTTTTTATACTAATGTTCACTTGATGCAAGGCTCGGGAGCCACTCAAAGTAGAGGCTTAATGTTAAAATTGCGTGTGATATGAATGAAAGGAAGGTGGTAGAAAATTATTATTGTAAAGAGGAGAATAAATAACAATTTGACCTGAAAAGATTAAGATGAAAAAATACAGCTGACTGAATTGAACTTTCTTCCTAGATTTGGAACACGGGAGAAATGAGAGTGATTTTACTCTGTGGGTGTAGCATTACGTTTCCTAGTTGTAAAACTCAGAACTGGTGAAACTAAAGAATAGAGTTCATTTGAACACTTGCCATGGAAATAGCGATACGAAGTACCTGACTCCTCCTACCATGATCTATCTTTACAAGAGTCAGATTAGACCAAAAATGGAATATTGCTGCCATATCTGAACTGGAGCTGCTCAATCCTCATTTTTCAGTGTTCAAAATCATTTATGCGGTCTTTTCCACTCTGCAACTTCTTTCCTCATAGTCAGAAAGTTATAGGCCTATCGCTACTTTGTCGCTATTTCTATGGTAAATGTTCAGATACTGTTATGGGATCTTACCCATAATAATAATAATGGACTATTCCATACTTAATAAATACTGCGCCTCAGGAGTAGGCATGAAGTGAGTCAGTAGTTCAAGTCGAGTCAAGAATCGAGTCAGAGGCAGTCCGAAACAGAGTCGCGTTCAGACAATTACTACAAGACATTGGAATAGTGATACTGGTCGAGACTACATTGTTCTCTCTACTAAACCTGATTGTTCATACTAACACTTCTACTTCTCTGTATATATTCCTGTTTGTAATATATCTGTGTTATGCCATACCTGTGTTCGAGTTCTTCTTTATTGGTTCTACCTTGGACTATTACCGTGGTACAAGGAACCGGACCATAACAAGTGGCAACGAAGATTCGAATTCATTCGGTGGAAGAAAAAAAATTTCGTTCGCCACGGCATAACAGATACGCACCATTCTTTAGAGCTAGGACATGCAATGCTGCTTCCACAGGAGTGAAACAACCTCATTCCCCCCGTGTTCCAAAGATAAGAAGAAAGTTCCACTCAAACAGTTTTTATTTCAAAAACTTCTACTTTATGGGCCTGACTCTTGCGTGTGTACTTATTTGAACGCTACAATCTTAAAATCTTCATAAGGGCCAATTGTTATTTAATCTCCTTATCCTTATAATGTTCACTTCCTAACACACTCCTTTTATTCATATCACACACCTCTTAAAATTAACCCTCTACATTGAGTGGCTCTCAGCGTTGCAGTGTTTGAATTCTAGTATCAAAATTACTGTTTTTATACGTCTTTTTATGTTAGCTTGGCACATTCGTTTAATATATGATTGACGCATTAAGTTATGCCTTTATTATGATGGGGGTCCAGTGACAGTATACCTCCCCAAACCTCCTATACTGTCTTCAGTAGATTTTAGTAGTACTTTGGTTTACATGCTGCTCGTTTTTTGTTGGTTTTTTTTTGTTGTTGTTGTTTTTTTTATGTTTTTTTTTTAATATTTGTTTTTTTTAGGGGGGGGTGTCCATCTCTTTTTTTAATTGCACTAAGACACAAGGGGTTACTGATTGTGAAAGAATTAGAAAAGAAAAACATTACTAAGGATCAAGAAGAATAGAAGTGTAATCAGGAATACAGTAGATAATGATTGACGTTGCATTTAGATTTTTGAAGATCAAAGTTAACTGGAAAACGTGGAGCCAGAAAAGAGTTTCACAAGCGAGAAGTGCGAGAAAAGAAAAAGTTAACATAGAACTTACCACTACATACATCTAGCCAGCACAACTGTCAATTGATGAGATCTTGATGCCAGCCTAGTACTACGCTTAAATTCATGAAGTCTGGATACCATAGAGAAAAGCTCATCCGAACAATTACTATGAAAGTATTCAAAAAAAGGCAAAGGGAAGCCACTTTACAGTGATGGGAAAGTGACTGAAACCGAGATGCCAGATCAGGACCAATAATATTACTGATTCTTCTTTGAATTTTTATCAAGAATCTCTAAATATATAACAAGAACACCAGACCATACGTAGCAGCAATATTCTAAGCATAGATGAATGGTAGACTTATAGATATGTAAGATAGATTCTGGCGAGAAAAATTATCCAGCAAGGCAACAGTGGAACAACTATCTTAGCAGCTGACCTAGCAATGGATTCAGTATAGTTTTTCCACTTCATGTCGGCCGAGAATATTTACCCGAAAGGGCGTAACGAGCCACTCTCCTGGAGGATGGCATCAGCCATGCTGATGGAAGGCAGAAAGGAGTCTCTCAGAGAGCAGTTTTTTAGTGGGGTATCTGAGACCGTTCCAAGTGCTCCACTGATTACTTCCTCTCATTCTTACTTTCAGGTTCTGTAAGTTTTGACAGGTTAGGTCTTGCTAGTTTTCTGATTCAATCGGAACGATCATCTCTATTTGCTATGGGATTTTTTGGTGGAGGCAAGAGATAAAAATATTATTACGAATCTTGGTCTCATTTGGGTAATCACAGTAATCTTTCAGTTCCAAAGTATTTTGCTTTTCTGTTTCTCAAGGACAGTTTCTGTTCATACTATTTGTTTGCATGGATGAATCCAAATCCCTTGCAGAGTTCTTAGGGAATAAATCTCCCCATTCAGTTATGGCTATTTTTATATTCTTCAATGCCATTTTTCTGTACTACCTTATGATTAATACCCTTTTCTTTTTCGCCAAATAGATGACATTTACTATTTTGAGTTGTCGATTTACGTCTTCGCATAATTGGACCGAATACTTTTCTTCTCGGCTTTT